ATTTGAGTGAACACTTCGTTATTCATTTCCGCGCTACTCTGCTTGTTCATTCATAACACCTAGTAATCAGAGCCACTTTCCTCGCTCACCCGTTTTCGTGAGTTGATTTTTTTTGGGGGGGGGTAGGTCCCTCACGTAAGCTGCAAAGCGGTTGCCCGCGAATTAGATTGATTAATTCGCCCAACTACGATAGCGTTTGCGCTTACCTGAGTACAGGCACACGACGGAATTCCCCCTGCCCCGGCGGAGCATTCGCCAAATGGACCAAGCTCAGTTCAACGAGCTTCGGGAGCAGTTCAACGCCATGAACACGCGCATGGCTACAGTGCTGGAGGACAACGAGCGACTTCGTGCGGAAGTTGCTGATTTACGCCAGGCGCGAGAGGATTCGCGTCAGAAAATTGCCGCCCAAGAGGAGGTCGCCAGCACCGGAGGTGTCGAAACCGTCTTGGACGAAATCGCACGTCAGGTGTCATAGGAGCGCAAGGACAGTGAAACCGCCGCAGCAGCTGATGTGGCAGCACGAGCAGCAGCCAAAGCAGCAGCAGCAGCAGCAGCAGCAGCGACAGCAGCAGCCGCTCGGTCAGAAGCAGCCGCTACTGTAGCTGCACCGGCGTTTATGCCGATCGTGACGACAGCGACGATCAAACCGACAATGCCGCCCCCGTTCAATCCCACAGATAAGCATACTACTGTTACGGGCTGGTTATTTTCGGCAGAACTTTATTTTAATGCCGCTGGGATCACTGCTGACGAGTTAAAAATTCGACTGGCTGTATCACTACTGCGGGGACCTGCGCTAGATTGGTGGCGATATACTCTACAGGAGGGGGAGTTTTCGGCAGGCGACACACAGGGGTTTTTAGGAAACTTTGGGTCTGCTGCCCAAGGGTCAACCGCGATTTTTGGATCGACCAAGATTCGCACGTGGAAGGCGTGGGGTACAGCTCTGCGTGAACGTTTCGAGCCAATATCCGCCTCGGACAACGCACGTACGAAGCTGGACAACTGGCGCCAGTGGAGTTCTGTCCAGGATTACGCGTCGGTCTTCATGGCGTTATGCGATCAAATCACCGACATGCATGACTCCGAGAAGAAAGCTCGATTCATTTCGGGTTTGAAGCAGGACATTAAATGCGAGGTCCGACTGCGACTGCCGGCGACGTTTCACGAAGCCGTTCGGATAGCAGACAACTTCGACGCGCATCGGACGTATGCGAGAGCGGGTTCCCGGGAGGGAAATCGTTTTCGTGGCCAGAATCCACGGCCCACGATTCACGGCGTAGTGGCGAAGGAGCACATGGACGATTTTCGCAAGGGACAATGTTTCAACTGCCACCAGCCGGGTCACCAATCTCACGATTGCCCCCGAAAGAAGCAGATAAAGAAGAACGACGAGGACAGGTCGGGAAACGCCAAGCGTCAGTAGCGGTCGGGCCCCCTACTGACCCTGCCTCATCGCCCGAAAAACAACATCCCCACCGAGTAGTGGTTCCGATACATGCTATCAACCGCTCCCGGCTGAAAAGGGAGGATGACCCAGTGGACCACCCTGTACTGGCGGAAGGACGACTTCATGGAAGAAAAATAAAAATATTCATAGACGGAGGTGCGAGTCATAGCCTGATAAATCGAGAGACGGCACGACGGCTACACCTGACGCTGGAGAGGTGTCTACCCGAAATCGACGCACGATTGGTGGACGGCACCCCGCTGGCGATACGCGACAAAGTACCTGTCGTTCGAATGAAGTGTGGCGAAGATTTTGGTTTCAGCGCGCCGATGCTGGCGACAACGCTCGACGGTTACGACGTGCTATTGGGACGCGACTGGCTGCGACGATTCAACCCACAGATCGATTGGACAACAGGCGAGTGCACAGTGAAGTGCGACAAAGGTTGGCGAAAATTACCCACGTGGCCGGAAGCAGAGACAACATCGACACGAGTCAACGCGGTGTGCCTCAATCGAGCGGTCAAGAATGGAGCGGATTTATACGCCGTCCATCTAATCGAAACGACGGAGCAGAATGAGGCGACCGACATCAACAAACTCTGCGCCTCGGTCCCGGATGACTTGGCGAAAATCATTCGAGAATATCCTGAGATCTTCCCGGACGACTTGCCAAGTGGACTGCCACCCGAACGACCCCAGGACCACAAAATCGAGCTGGAGCCCGGCGCGCAGCCTACTGTACGCACGCAATGGCGCCTGACTCAGCCGGAGCTACAGGAGTTACGAAACCAGTTGGACTACCTGCTGGCGAAAGGGTTCATTCGGCCGAGCACGTCCCCGTTCGCAGCACCGATCCTGTTCACACCAAAAAAGGACGGTGGACTTCGCATGTGTACGGATTATCGTGCCCTTAATCGGGTAACGATTAAATCGCGCTACCCAATCCCACGAACGGACGAACTGATCGACAACCTTCGCGGAGCTCGTTACTTTTCGAAGATCGACCTTCGTGGCGGTTACCATCAAATTCGAGTGTTCGCTGACGACTGCCACAAGACCGCGTTTCGTACTCGCTATGGGAGTTACGAATACACGGTGATGCCGTTTGGATTAACGAACGCCCCCTCGACGTTTCAACTCACCATGAATGGGGTATTCCGCGATCTACTCGACAAATGCGTGATAATTTACTTGGACGACATCCTGATCTACAGCAAGACCCGGGAGCAGCATTTACAAGATTTGGAAGCGGTTTTTCAGCGGTTGCAGCAGCATCGACTCATCACCAAGGGCTCCAAGTGCGAGTTTTTAAAACAAGAACTGGAGTTCCTGGGGCATGTGATATCCACGGAGGGGATTCGAATAGACCCGAAAAAACTCCGGGCTATTCAGGAGTGGCAACCACCAACAAATCTGCAGCAGCTGCAATTCTTTTTGGGTTTCGTGAATTACGTGCGGAGGTTTATACCCAACATGGCGGGGTTAACTGGACCTCTAACCGACCTACTGCAGAAGGGAACTTTTTACGAGTGGGGGGAGAAGCAGCAAGCTGCGTTTGAGGCATTAAAAACTCTTTTAATGTCGCCACCAGTACTTCGCATCGCTGACCCAGAACGGCCCTTCGAAGTCATCACCGACGCAAGTGACATCGCCATCGGAGCAGTGCTCATGCAGGATTTCGGCAACGGGCTTCAACCAATCGCGTACGAGTCTCGGAAAATGCAATCTGCTGAGCGCAACTACCCAGTACACGACAAGGAGATGCTGGCGATCGTCCACGCGTTCAAAATCTGGCGGTGCTACCTGACTGGAGCAGACGTGACGGTGCGAACCGATCACAAATCACTACAGTACCTGAGGGCGCAGCCGAATCTCAACCCGCGGCAGATACGCTGGCTGGACTATCTGGAGTCAAATTTCACGTACAAGATCACGTACAAAAAGGGCGCCAACAATATTGCCGACGCCCTTTCCAGACCATCTGCCCAACTCGCAGCAGTACTAGTCGCCCAGAGCAACCCGCTGCTGAGTGGACTATTTACCCACGGGTATTCGACTGACCCCTTCTTCGTAAACGACGGCCATCTCCCAATCACTACGCGGAAAGGCGTCTATTACTTACGAAGCGGGACTGATCGAATTTGGGTCCCAAGTTATCGTCTACTTCGCGAATTACTAATTCAAGAAGTCCACGATTCGAACTTATCGGGACATTTCGGGGTTGATAAAACTCTGAAGGCGTTGCAGCGTTTTTATTACTGGCCAGATATGGTGACGGACGTGCAGCGTTACGTGGCCGCGTGTCCGATCTGCCAGCGAATGAAATCCTCACACCAGCGACCAACAGGACTGTTGCAGCCCCTCGAGCCACCTCAACGCCCATGGCAACACGTAACGATGGATTTCGTTACGGGACTACCGGCCGGATCTAGCGGAAACGACGCGGTTTTGGTTGTCGTCGACCGATTGACGAAAATGGCGCATTTCGCACCATGTCGTACAACCATCACAGCTGAAGAAACAGCGCGCCTGTTCATCTCGACCGTCGTTCGACTACACGGGATACCAGCAGCAATCATTAGCGATCGAGATCCGAAGTTCACGTCCAAATTCTGGCAGGACACGTGGGCTCGGTACGGCACGCGTCTACAGTTCTCATCCGCGTATCATCCACAAACGGACGGCCAGACGGAAAGGACAAATCAAACGATGGAGCAGCTAATTCGGACAAACTGCCCCGACCGAAACAAATGGGAGGACGTGCTGCCCATGTTGGAATTTTCCTACAACAACGCGCCCTCGGCTACGACTAATCATTCCCCGTTTTATCTCAATTACGGGATGGACCCTACAGTGCCGATCTCCACCAACGTTGAGAGTCAAGTACCACGATCGCAACAGTTCGTCGAAGAATTACAGACTGCCCGAGACAAAGCTGTCGAACTTATTCGCAAGGCGAACGCAACCGCCCGACGGTATGCAGATTTACATCGACGGGATATTACGATGACGACAGGGCAACTAGTCCTTCTGGACACCAAGAATTTGCGACTACCATTACCGACGAAATTACGACCACGTTTCTGTGGCCCGTTCAAGATCGTAAAGATGGTGACGCCGGTGACCGCCCAGTTGCGCCTACCTGATGACTGGCGAATTCACAACAAATTCCACGTGAGTCTGTTGCGACCCTTCGTGCCTGACACGTCGGACATCGCTCGACAGCGATTGGTTCCAGACGTACGGCCACCAGCCGAGACGACCATCGAGCCTTCGAAGATCTTGAGCCATCGGATTCGTATCGACGGTCAAGGACGACACGTTGACTTTCTGATACGATGGACCAATCGTACCAGTGAGGACGACACGTGGGTGCCCTCGGACCAGATACAGTCACCTTCGATACTTTCGAATTATTTGGACCGCAAGCACGTGGTTGATATAGTTCACCTTCGCTAAGGGGGGGGGTGGTGTAAGGAATTTTCCATTCCTTACCGAGCGGTACTGCTAAGCGCGTACGCTCGAACACACCTGAAGCCTTGGGACTGTTCCAGACCTTCTGACAGAACCGCCTCGGTTTTTCCAGACTTACCGGTTCGACCTTCGGGAGTTCTCCAGGCCTCGCTTCGTCACTTCGAGACCCTTCGATCTCCTTCCCGAACCTTCCCATCGCATGGTTAGACTAGCTCTGGTGTTCCTATATCTTGGCTTGCCATTCCTTGTATCGTCATTCATTTGAGTGAACACTTCGTTATTCATTTCCGCGCTACTCTGCTTGTTCATTCATAACACATTCCAACAACTAGTTTTTCGTCTATGTCGTTTCTTGCGAAGACGACTTTTCTGTCCAGAATTTCGGATTTATATTTTGAGTAATTCTAGCTCCTAAGTTCACCTAGACTCCGTCCTTAATCCTAACAAGTGGTATCAGAGCCATATTGAGGACATTGAGAGGAGTCTACAGAAGTGTGAAGACCATTCTAGACCCACCATGGCCTGTGGGTGTGCCTAAGTGGTGTTCTAAAGGTTGGATGTGACTTCCACTAAGGGGAAACTCTGCCGAAATTTCGTGGACGCCGACACTTGTGAAAATATCGAGGGAGCTGAGTGTGGACAGCAAAGGGGAGCTGAGATTCGTCATTTCTCAAGGAGAAGATGAATGAGAGAGGAGGAGATACTAATGGAAGAGGAGCTGTACCTGAGAAGACAAGTGAGCCGCCACCATCAAAAGTTGAAGCTTTGGATGGCTCCAACTATGAGGAATGGAGCGGGCGGATGAGGAGTGCCTTCAAACGCTACAAGCTACTGAAGATTGCTGTTGGGGAGGAGAAGATGCCGGAGGAAGGCGAAGAACGCGAACGGTGGATTGAGAAAAGCACGGTGCTTTTCGACCTCATCCTTCAATCGGTCAACAAGGAGATGTTCGAGCACATCAAGGATCTTGTGGAAGCGGATGATTCGGGTCCAAGGGCGTGGAAACTACTACGCGATGTGATTCAGCCCAACACTCTTCCGATGGTGATCGTGCTCGAGAAGGAACTTGCTGCAATCTCCATGCGACTAGGGGATGATGTGAAGCCGGCCCTTGACAAGATCAAGGACACCTATGCAAGGATGGCAGCAGCGGGCAGCAGCGTTTCTCAGCTGCAGCAGTGCACCAAGATCATCTCGGTGTTGGACAACTCGTGGGACAACCTCATCCCCACCCTCAACTCTCAGCAAGATCAATGGACACCTGAGTGGCTAAGGCAGCAGATTCTGCAGGAGGACTTCCGCAGACGCCATGTGGGAGGCGGTGCTGCCACTAAGACTGCTGAGGGGTATGGAGCTGCAGGGCGCGGCAGAGGAAGAGGGGGTTGGAGAGGCCGAGGCCGTGGAAGGAGCTTTGGCAGAGGTAGAGGCCGAGGTGACTATAATGAGGGGCATGGGAGCTCTAGTGGCAGGGGGAGTACCAGAATGGAGGGCACCTGCTGGTACTGCAAGAAGGTTGGGCATCCTTGGTTCAAGTGCTTCAGCAGGCCGGAGGGATGGGCACCTCCAGGCATGAAGCCGCCCAGTGGTGAACGTGCACAAGGTGGCGCTGTGCAAGGCTCAGGTGCACAAGGTGAAGGTGCACAAGGTAATGCCTATCCTGGGATGTTTCTCATGGTTGAGGATGTGCATGGGCATGAGGGTGATGTGGGATCTGTGGGAAAGGTTGTGATGCACCCTCTCACACACTGGGTGATTGATTCAGGGTGCACCAGTCACATGACCCCACGGGCAGATTTGCTTGATGAGGTAAAACCCCCTGGGAAGATCAAGTATGTGGCAGCAGCGTCAGGTGCTTTGCTCCCCGTGATTGGTGTTGGGAATGCCAAGGTTAAGGGAGCCAATGGGGAACTTGTGGGGCTTGGGAATGTTCTGCTGGTTGAAGGTCTGTCTGCTAACCTTCTCTCTGTGCGGCGACTGCAGAAGAGCAAGGCCGAAGTGACCTTTGGACCAACCAGCTGCCGTGCTAAGCTTGGGAAGAAGGTGCTGTGGAGTCTGGAAGAGGAGACCAGCTGCATCAAGGACCTATGGCAGCTGCCCATCATCCCTTGGAATGGGAAGACTCCAACAACAGCAACGGCAGCAGCGGCAAAGGCAACAGCAGGAGGAGATGCAACTGCACCAACTGATGGGGTCCTGGAAGCAGTCAAGAAAGTGCAGCAGCAGCAGACACATGGTGAGGTGCTTGCTGGTGTGGATGCGAGTGCGGCATGGGCTAAGGCTTCATCAAGGAGTGGTGAGGCCGATTGGGAGACATGGCATGAGAGGCTGTGTCATGTGAACTTCCCTATGCTGCAGAAGTTGGTGAAGGATGGGAGCCTGAAAGGCTTGGAGGTGAAAGGGGGAGTGAAGGAGATTGGGAGCTGCCCTACATGCTTGGAGACCAAGTTCTCCAAGTTCCCCTTCAACAGCACTACAGGACCAGCAAAGACCCCACTTGCACTTGTGCACATGGATGTGGTGGGGCCCACAAGAGCCCCTTCCCTCTCAGGCAGCCGCTATTTCTTGACAATTGTGGATGACCACACTCGAGCAGTGTGGGTTTACCCTTTGAAGAGCAAGGGGGAGGTGGCAGCGGCTGTCCTTAAGGAGTGGATGCCTAGAGCTCAGAGGGAATGCGGATACAAGGTGAAGGTGATCCGCAGTGACAATGGTGGGGAGTTCATTGGAGCTGATTTTGAGGGGGAGTTGAAGAGGAAGGGGATCCAGCATCAACTGACAGTGCCCTACAACCCGCAGCAGAATGGCGTGGCTGAGAGGTTTAACAGGACCCTGCAGGAGGGGGCACACACTCTCCTTGGGCGTGCAGGGCTGCCTGATCCATTTTGGGTGTCTGCACTGAGGCAGGTCGCCCTTGTGAAGAACAGGGTGCTGGCTACAGTTGGGGATAAGGAGTGGATCCCATATACCAAGTGGTATGGGAGTGCTCCAGCTGTAAACATGCTGAGGGCATTTGGGTGCATGGTGGTGTTTCATGTGCCTAAGGAGAAAAGGGGGAAGTTGGAGGCTTCTGGAAGATGGGGTGTGCACTTGGGGATTGCAAAGGATCACAAGGGGTGGCTGCTATGGGACTTGATCACCCAGAAGCTGACAGTGTCCAGGGATGTGAAGTTTCTTGAGTCCCTGTACTACAAGGAATGGAAGCAGCAGCAACAGAAGCTTCCATCTACACCGCTCATTGTGGAGGTAGATGAGGTGCAGCGGCCTTCAAGACAGGTGGAGGTTGCAGTGTCTGAGGAGGAGATGTCTGGGGTGACTGAGGAAGGGGGAGCAGCTGAGGTGGAGCAGCAGCAGCAGCATGAGTCTCCATCTCGAGTTCCACACCCGCCTGAGCGACCTAGGAGGGATGTGCGCCCTCCGGTGAGGCTGACCTATGGGGGAAGAGGCAAGCCGAATGTTGTGCAGGCTGGGAGTGTGGTTGAGCAGATTGAGGAAGATGAGATCGCTCACTGCTACTGGGCACCAATCCCTGAGCCCAAGACTCGAGAGGAGGCTTTGAATGGACCAAATGGGGAGAAGTGGAAGGTGAGTGAGGATGAGGAGTTCGGGTCCCTGATTGAGAACGAGACATGGGACCTGTGTGACTTGCCTCATGGAAAGAAGGCAATCACTTCCAAGATGATCTACAGGCACAAGTATGGACCTGAAGGGGAGCTGACCCGCTACAAGTCTAGGCTTGTGGCAAGGGGGTTTCAGCAGACAAAGGGGAAGGACTATGATGAGGTGTTTGCTCCTGTGGGGAAAGGAACAACACTGAGGGTGCTGTTGGCGATAGCTGCACTCCTGGGATGGAAGATTCGGCAGATGGATATTGTGATTGCCTTTCTGAATGGGATCATTATGGAGGAGGTGTACATGAAGCAGCCAGAGGGGCTGGATGACGGGAGCGGCAGGGTCTGCAGGCTGAAGAAGGCCATCTATGGCCTTAAGCAGGCGCCTCGTGCATGGTATCACAAGTTGGAGGAGGCGCTGTTGGCTGGGGGTTTCAAGAAGAGTGAGTGTGACCCCAGCCTGTTCCTGCTGCAGGAGAAGGATGAAATCCTCATGCTCTTGGTGTATGTGGATGATATCCTTCTCTTTTCTGCATCCACTGCTTTGCTGGACAGCGCAGAGCAGATGCTGGAGATGCAGTTCAAGTGCTCCAAGATGGGTGAGGTGAAGTACTACTTGGGGATGCACGTGGAGAGAGATGTGGAAAAGGGTGTGCTGAGGTTGCACCAGAGGAAGTACTGTGAGGGACTGGCTGAGAAGTATGGGTTGCAAGATGGGGGAAAGCCAGCAACACCACTACCTTCAGGGTTTACTGTGGAGCCATGTGCTGATGAGGAGGTAGTGGGTGAGAGTGACAGGAAGCTGTTTCATTCGATGGTTGGGTCGCTGAATTATGCTGCAAATCATACACGGCCTGACATTGCATTTGCTACATCACGGTTGGCTAGTGTGGTCTCACGCCCTAGTCATGAGCAGCTGGAAGCGGCCAAGAGGTTGGTCCGCTATGTAAGTGCTACGGCATCAGTGGGATTGGAGTACAATGGAGTGAGGCAGCGGTTGCAGAGAGGTGCTGCAGATGTGAAGAGTGGTGAGATGCTCTTGAGTTGCTATACTGACGCTAGCTTCAACTCAGTGAAAGCGGATGGCACCAGCATTGGGGGTTATGTGTGCTTGCTAGGAGGTGGTGCTGTGAGCTGGCGCAGCAAGAAGCAAAATGAGGTGGGATTGTCCTCATGTGAGACTGAGTACATGGCCTTACACCATGGGGCCAAGGAAGTGGTGTGGCTGAGGGGCGTTTGTTGGAGGAGTTGGGAGTTGGTCAGAAGGAGCCGACGGTGATCTTCTGTGACAATGAGTCTGCTGTGAAGCTCGCCAAGAATGCTTGTCTGCATGGGCTTACAAAACACATAAGGCCTAAGTGGCACTGGGTGAGGAGACTCCTTGATAAGGAGGTGCGGCTGGAGATCGTGAAAACCCATCAGCAGGCAGCAGATATTTTCACTAAGCGTCTGGCGGAGGCGGATCATTGGAAGGGCATGAAGCTTGCTGGGATGAGTGTGCATTGAGTATGCATGCTTGAGATGTTGGTATGGTGGATGATGGTTGGCAGCCAGAGGGGGAGATTGTTGTGTGATGTCATCATATGCTATCACATTCTGTCTGCCTCCCATCCCTCGTTTCAATTCGCATGTATGGTTTGACTGTGTGTGAAAGAATTTGTGCGTGGTGTGTTCTGGAGTTTGGGAATGTGTTCTGTGTTATTTTGTTTGAGCAGGTATTTGTGATGATAGATCTTGAGAAGATCTTTCCGACGCAACAAGAATCTCTTCAATCGGAGCAAGAACGCGAAAGCTATGAAGATTCAAAGTTTTTGAGCTTGCGTTACAATTGCGGCGGTTACAAAGTGAAGTTGTGGGGTGACTCACAATGGAGTTGGGACCTTTGGGGTTGGGGAAATTCGTCACTCTACTGTAACAGCTGCAAATTGGTTGGGAACAACCAAGCTAGGTTGGCAAGTGTGACCAACTTGGATGGATTGGTTTGGAAGGGACAAAGGTCAAAGTTGGGGTTCCTATAGGGAGGGAATCTTTGTGCTTATGGGGTTTCCTTGGTTGGGGACTCTCTTGGGACCTTCCCTCTCATCCCTCTCTTCCCATCCCAACCTTTCTCTTGCTCCTCTAATTCCTTGTGAGATTCTTGAACTTTGATTAAACTTTTGAGATTGAGTTAAGTTCTCCTCCTACAGCTTACCCCTCAGTGCGTCGAAAGCCATAGCGTCGCGAATACTTCATCAATCGACGTGATTCAAATTGAGAACGGTAGCTAAGATTGAGAGCTACAACATATCCGAGTTTCGCGACATTCCAACAGCTATGTTTTCGTCGACGTCGTTTCTTGCGAAGACGACTTTTCTGTCCAGAATTTCGGATTTATATTTTGAGTAATTCTAGCTCCTAAGTTCACCTAGACTCCGTCCTTAATCCTAACAACAAGGGCATATACGGCGCTATATGAGTTGTGGTTGTACTCTCTAAGAGCACGTACCTGTCTAGCCTAAAACTAGACATACCTTACAAATGTATAAGTTGATACACCCCCTAGGTTGGACAAGGGGCAGTGCCTAGCAAGAGACACGCAGCTCCGGGCGGCACTACTAGTCCAACCTCTAAGGGAAGAGTATGAAGACCAATCAGCGAGAGTACAAACAAAACAAGAGAAACCCAGGGCGGCACTACTAGTCCAGCCACTGGAACAAGAGCCACAAGGCCAGTCAAGATAGTATAAGGAGTAGTACACAATCAGGGTCCTAGCAAGTGAGGGGCTACTGGAACTAGACCAAGCTGTACACAGTGCCGGTGATGATCTTTAAGCGCAAGTGCCTTAGTAAGGATATCAGCTGTGTTGGCACCGAGGGCCAAGTGTACTACGCGGGCCTGGCGGCACTGCTGTAGCTTGCGCACGAGGAAGTACCACAGCTGGATGTGCTTCGCTCTGGCCTCTAGTCGAGGCTCCTGACACAGGAGGATCATGGCCCTGTTGTCAGCGTACAGGACCGGGTCAGAGCTAGGGGGCTCACCTGAGTCTGTGAGCAGGAACGTCAGCCAGCGCAGCTCTTGTGCCGCCATGGCACCAGCGTAGATCTCAGTCTGATAGCTAGACTGTGCAACAGACGACGAGTGGGTGGACCTCCACGAGATAGCGCCTGCACCAAGGCTAAAGCAGTAACCCTGGGAGGACCTGAGCATCTCAGCGTCGTCCACTCACGAAGCGTCTGTGTGCCCTGTGAGAACCACTAGCCTGCGCCCTCCCAGCACTAGCCCCATGCCCGATGTACTTGCTAGATGACGCAACACTCTCTTAGTGGCCGACCAGTGCTGGGGTCGGTGTCTGCCTGTCGCCACAAAGCGAGCCAGGATACAAAGAGGGTAAGCGAGATTTGGACGAGTGCAATTCATCAGGTACATTAGGCAGCCCACACGCTCTGCATACTGACCACTAGGCTTAACCGGCTCTTCAGGGACTGGAGCCGAGAGCTTGTCATCCACTGGCAGAGGGGTGGGTTGTGCGGAGGAGAAATGAAGGCCGAACCTCTAAAGGACCTGGCGCACCAAGTGTGACTATGTGAGAGTAATGGTGCACGCAGCTCTGTTCCTGGAGATCCGCAGCCCAAGGTAGCGGCGCAGCTCTCCTAGGTCAGGGCAGGTGTGTCTCCTCACCAGCTTCGCCCTCACTGAGGCCAGTGCATCTCTGTCTGCAGTAGCGAAGACCAGATTGTCTACGTAGACTAGGATGTAGAACGTAGTCTGGCCTGAGCGAACAAAGAGTGAAGGATGAGCAGAGGGCTGGAAGAATCTCAGGTCTGCTACAGTAACGTAGCACGCAGCATGTCGTCCCCCTCACGGGGCGCCTGCCGCTGACTTTAAACCGGGCGCCAGAGGAACCACTCGGTCCTAGGAGGGAAAGTGTCAAAGTAGCCTGGTGGACGGCACAGGTAGACCTGTTCATGCAGACAGCCCTGGACCTGATGCAGGTCTCCTAGCAAGTGAGATTCTACAGGAACTAAATCAAGCTGCAAACAGTGCCGCTGATGATCTTTAGGCGCAAGCGCCTTTGTGAAGATATCAGCTGTGTTGGCACCGGAGGCCAAGGGTACTACGCGAGCCTGGCGGCGGTGCTGTAGCTCACGTAGGAGGAAGTACCGCAGCTGAATGTGCTTCGCTCTGCCCTTGAGTTTGGGCTCCAGACACAGGAGGATCATGGCCCTGTTGTTAGCGTACAGGACCGGGGCAGAGCTAGGCCGCTCACCTAAATCTGCGAGCAAGAATGTCAGCCAGCGGAGCTCCTGTGCCGCCATAGCACCAGCGCAGATCTCAGCCTCACACCTAGACTGGGCAACAGACAACGAACGAGTGGACCGCCACGAGACGGCGCCTGCACCAAGGTTAAAGCAGTAGCCCTGGGAGGACCTGAGTGTCTCAACGTCATCTGCCCACGAAGCGTCTGTGTGCCCTGTAAGGACCACTGGTTTGTGTCCTCCTAGCACTAGCCCCATGCCCAATGTACCTTCTAGATAACGCAAAACCCTCTTAGTGGACGACCAGCGCTGTGGTCTGTGTCTGCCTGTGGCCACAAAGCGAGCCACGATGCTGAGAGGGTATGCGAGATCTGGACGAGTGCAAGCCATCAGGTACATGAGGCAACCCACCAGCTCTGTGTAAGGACAACTAGGCTCTACGGACTCCTCATGGACTGGAGCCGAGAGCTTGTGATCAACTAGCAGAGGTGTGGGCTGTCCGGATGAGAACTGAAGACTGAACCTTTGAAGGACCTGGCGCACCAAGCGTGACTGTGTGAGAGTGACAGCCTGTGCAGGTGTGTCTCCTTAGCAGCTCAGCCTTCACGGAGGCCAGCGCGTCTCTGTCTGCAGTAGCAAATACGAGGTCGTCTACGTAGACAAGGATGTAGAACGGGGTATGGTCAGCACGAACAAAGAGCGAAAGGTCTGCAGAGGACGGGAAGAACTGCAGGTCAGCTAGCGCAGCACGAAGCATGTCATGCCACTCGCGCGACGCCTGCCGTACCGGATGCAGGAGGAGCCAATGGGTCCCCGGGGCGAAGGTGCCGATGAGGCGTAGCGGGTGACACAGGTAGACTTGCTCGTGCAGACTGCCCTGAAGAAATGATGTGGAGATGTTGAGAGAGTGCAGCTCATAGTCACGCTGTGCTGCTACGTGTGATAGCATCCAAAGAGTGGTCATCTTCAAGGACGAGGCGGAGGTCTGAAAGAAGTCAACACCCTCATGCTAACTGAAGCCTCTAGCAACGTAGTGCGCGTTGAACGCCGGCGGCTCTCCAGGAGGGAGCTTCACCTTGAAGAGCCACCGGCCATCAACTACGTTCACCCCAAGTTGGGGAACTGCGTCGATGTAGGTGCCGGTGGATCTCCAAGATGCCATCTCCACGTCTATGGCAGCTATCCACTGAGAGGCCCAGAGTCCCGAGGTCGCCTCCGAGTAAGTGCCAGGGGTCGGGATGTCAAAGGCGTCTGGGCCCCCCTCAAGGACTAGCAGCATGGAGCAGAGATGAGGCGCGACCTCAGACAGGAAAGCAAGCTCATGCTGCCGGTCCTCCAGGACATCACTGCCGAGGCCAGCAGCACCCTCGACGGACGGAGGACGGGCATGGTCGGAGACCAGAGCGGTGGCGTAGTCAAGGCGGGCGGGTGGAGGCAAAGTCAGCTACGGCAGTCACACACACGTGAAGACTCGAGACCGGAATAGACGGGTCGGTAACAAGGGAGGCAAGAACCCGAGGAACAAGAGGACTAGCGGCACGAAGGAAGTCAGACAGAGGAGGCGGAGCAACAACAAGCGACGACAGAGGAGGAGACGGGAGGAGGGGAGGACGAGACGTGTGCGAACAAAGTAACATAGGGTGAGAGCATTGAACATGAGAAACAGGACGAGCACGGGAGGGACGGTGAGACCAGACGTGAGACAGAGGCGTCGGGTCAAGAGACAGAGGAGGAGACACATGAGGAGAACGAAGGGGGAAACGAGCCGGAGACAGGTCCGACAGAGGAAACACAGAGCCGGAGACAGGTCCGACAGAGGAAACACAGGGCCGGAGACAGGCAGGGAAGGCGGCGGCAGGGGAGGCATAGGCGGGCGGTTAGGGGAGGGGAGACCGAGGAGGCGAAGGACGGACACCAGCTGCGACTGCTGCTGTTGCGCCACACCGACACCAGAACCTCAAGCTGCACCATGGCTACCTCCGACATGCTCCACTCCAGCACCCCCAGAACAAGAACCCTCTCCAGCACCGGTGCCACCCCCAGGACCGCCACGACAAGCCAAGACAGTAACCCCAGGACTAGCACCCACCCCAATGCCAGCACCCGCAGAACGCGCGGACCACTGCGGCAGCTGCGGCTGCGGTGGCAGCGGCTGCTGCTGCTGCTGTGGTGGCGGCGGCGGCTGCTGCTGCGGCGGTGACGGCGGCTGCTGCTGCAGCAGCGATGGTGGCAACTGCTGCGGCTGCGGCGGCGGAGGAGGAGACACCGGGGCGGAGACAGGCGCAGAAACTGAAGCCGCGGGACCTCCTGGGTCAGCCGACTCCTCCACCCGGGCCAGCGATGGGAGGGGAGCGACGTGAGATACACTAGACAGGGCAAGACGGGGAGGGAGAGGGGTAGGGGCTACCGCAGGACTGGGAACCAAAAACAAGGGCGGAAAAACCGGGAGAGCTTGGTGGGAAAAGCGGTGATAGAAGTAGATAGACTCGTCAAAGGTGACGTCCCGCAAGTGACATTCAGACGCATCAAGGGGGAAACCAAGGAAGA